TTCACGATATGATACGCACCACGATACAGCCTTCACAATACGATCCGTATCTTGATGCAGCCTTTCATGATACGATACGTATCATGATACAGCCTTCACGATATGATATGTATCGTGATACAGCATTCACGATATGATACGCACCACGATACAGCCTTCACGATACAATCCGTATCATGATGCAGCCTTTCACTATATGATATGTATCGTGATACAGCATTCACGATATGATACGCACCACGATACAGCCTTCACGATACAATCCGTATCATGATGCAGCCTTTCACTATATGATATGTATCGTGATACAGCCTTCATGATACGATACGTACGTATCATGTTACAGCCTTCACGATACGATACGTATTATGATACAGCTTTCACGATATGATACGTATCGCGATACAGCCTTCACAATATGATACGTATTATGATACAGCCTTTACGAAACAATCCGTATCATGATACAGCCTTCACGATACGATATGTACCACGATACATCTTTTCTCGAAATGATACGTATCGCGATACTTTCAAGAGAAACTTACCTAGCAATCAATACACTCAACTGGGACTCTACCAATCATGTGAATGCTTACAAATCAGTATTGTGGAGTGCTTAGTAAACAACTGCTATGGAATTCTAAATCGTGCAAGGCTGCTTTTGCTGTTAGAGCAAACTACACTAACTAAATTATATCGGGTTTGTGACTGTCATGTCTTCATCTCTATGTGTGTGTGGGGGGGGGATGTTTTCCATAGCCCCTATGAAAAACGCCCCCCCCCCCCTCTGGTACATATTCCCCCTATGATAGGGAAATATATACCATGCTGTGGTGGCTATATTCTTTTAGCGTGGAGCTGCGATTTCTGAGGGAGAAGTGTGCCACTATCCTCCAGCGTTACTACGATTCCAAGAACCACCAGAAGAAAACGATACAGTCTGGAGGGTAAGTGCTGCCCCCTGTCAGGTCCGCGTTTTCCGTCCACATCAGCCGTGAAGTTTAGTCTAAGTTCTAGAACTAATACTAGTTCTCAACTAGTTCTTTCTGTAACTCTTCTAGAAGTTCTAATAACTTAGACATTAAGCTTAAATGTTAACCCTTAATACTTTGACCCTCACAGCACTCATTTCTTAGTAAGTTGTCTATTCTTTTTTATTTATACTCTCAAGTTATACCTATTATACACCTGCTGTATTGAAACTAAGTTATGTGCTAAATAAAGAATCTGAATCTAACACCGCCCCGGGGCGGCGGCGGCCATGTTGCAGGATCTACGACCTTCGGCGCGACCTCCAGCGACACATCGGCGGTGTGGAGACGTACGGCGGAGAGACGTTCCTGTCAGAGGAAGTCTCCATCAACATCCTGCAGGAATGCAAGATGGCGCTCCGCCGCTGCCAGACGGTGAGCAGCGACACCTGGTGGAGAGAGATGCGGGGAGCAGGCGCGGAACTTATTATTATTATTATTATTATTATTATTATTATTATTATTATTATTATTATTATTATTATTATTATCATTTATTATTAAATCTTTACTGCATGTAATACAAATACGAATACATGTACTAATACCTGTCGCGTTGTTTTTTGGGTGTGATGTGTCACGTGGAGTTTGCACTGCTGGGAGAACTGCTAGAGCGAGTGCCTCAGCGAATGAGACGATTGATGTTAGCGTAGTCATGAACATAGGTCGACTAATATTTTGTTAATAAGTAAGTGCAGGTAATGCACACGCATGCACGCACGCACACACACGCATGTATGCATGCACACCCACAAACCCACCCATCCACACATATATTATGTTGTTGCAGCTATGCACAGTGAGTAAATAGACTGTACAGAATATATATATATATATATATATATATATATATCAACATACGATATGTATTGTTGCAGCTGTGTAATGCGTCGGAGCTGGCGGGCAGCGCTCATCAGATAGTCATGGTCCTCGACCAGTACCTGTGTCAGGAGCATCTAGACTACGCCATTGAGCTCGCACTACAAGGTGAGCGCGCGTCTGTGAGGGGTGTCTTTGTCGTCACGGCGACACGGCGCAAAACGTAAACGCAGGAGCGTCGAAGACGGCGCGTTTGTATGTTCGCCCGTTTACTGGTCTTCGTCTGTGAGTCTGGATTTGTACTTAGTGGATTAGTGGATTAGTTCTACTGTCGCCATGTGTCCGTCGTCATCGTTAGTGATGACTCGTTAATGTCGCAGCTCATGCAGCGATTGTGGCACGTGGCTTCCTCTCACAGCGATCCCGCATGACATGTGGCTTCCTCTATCTCTTGCAGCGATCCCGCATGACATGTGGCTCACATGATAACAATCCGTAACAAGACTCTCAGAATGCATTGAGTACCCACACTTGCATGGCTGCCCAGTAACACCTTCCTCTGTATTGTCATCAGACATGGCCCTGACTCTCTCCCGTGAAGCTCCAAATACTGCAGGCCATGAGATAAAAATATTGTATTGTTTGCCCTCACCTCTGACCGACCATGCCAAAAAGGGGCCGACTCAAAATTTTTTATTGTCTTCCCATTCTTTTTTTTCAAATTAGATCACTGTGCATGTATATAAATCTGCTAGGCAATACATTATATTACCAAAGCAAACACAAACAAACATAAAAGGTATCCTCCACACAAGCACACCTGATGATGTCCGACCCCAATATGGAATTTGTAAAAAGACCCCCCTCAAAAAAATGTAACCTAACTTAACCTACCCAAACTTCACCTGGGTCGGGTGCAAGGCAAACAAAGATTTGTTTAATTGATGGCCTGGATGATGGTTTGTTTCGCAGGCGTGCAGCAAGGTGGTTCGCTTCTGTGCGACCGTTCTCATCGAACGGCACGAGACAGCCTCAGACGGCAAAGAACTGGAGCTGCGCTAACAGAGCTGGGAGCTGGAAACTTACACGACAGGTGCGTCTTACGAAACGCCTGCAGCAATACCAGATACAGACGACCAGTCGGTGGGTGTGACACGCACACATGCGGGGAGGGGAGAGAGGGTCGGGGCATGCAGGGGGAGGGGCAGGGAATGGAGAGGGGGACTCTCTCTCTCTACTCTCTCTTCTCCTCTCTCATCCTCGTCTCTCTCTCTCCGACTAAGCTCTCTCTCTCTTCTCTCATCTCTCTCTCTCCTCTCGCTCTCTTCCTCCACTCTCTGCCTCCTCTCTCTCTCTCCTAACTCATCTCTCTCGTCCTCTTCCCGCTCTCTCTCTCTCCTCTCTTCTCTGTCTGTCTTTCTCTTCTTCTCTGTCTGTCTTTATTTTCTCCTTTCTCTCCCTGTCTCTCTTTCTCTTCGTGCTTGTCCTGTTCTCTTCCTCTCTAATCTCTTTCTCTACCCCTCCCCCTCCCTCTCCCTCCCCTCTCTCTCCTTCAGGACGTCTTTCACTCCGTTCCTCCACTTCTCGCCTCTCGGTTCTCGAAATCTAACCCACTCTGCGTACGTTGCAGGCGCGATGGTGGCGATATGCGACATCAACGAGTATCGCAAGTGTGCGAAACAGCTGAAGGTGACCTTGGTGAACACACTGTTTGAGACGCTGCATGCTCTATGCAACCTTTTACTCGTGCAGCCGGCAAACATCAAGCAAGTCTGCTCCGGTGAACAACTGGTGAGTAACTACTGCTGCTGTTTCTACTACTGCTGCTGCTGCTGGTGGGGCTCTTCGCTACTCTGCGCTGGCTGCTGCTGCAGTAAACTACTGAGACTGGCTGCGTGCTGCGCTGCTGGCTAATACCTACTGCTGTGCGTGCTACGACTGCTGGCTGCTGCTGCTGCTGCTACACGTATCGCTGCTGCTGCTGCTGCTACTGAACTACTCGCTGCTGCTGCTGCTGCTGCTACTACTGACTGCTGGCGCTGCTACTAACTGCGGCTGCTGCTGCTGCTGCTGCTGCGTGCTGGTTGTTGGTGGTAGGTGGCTAGCTACTAGCTGCGCAACTACTGCTGCTGCTGCCGCTGTTGCTGAACTGCTACTACTATACAAATGAACTGACTACTGCCTACTGCTTACTCGCTACTGCTGGCTGCTGCGCGTGCTCGCTAGCTCGTCCCCTACTGCTGCTACGCTTGGGGGTGGTGCTTCTGTCTACTTGCACTGCACCATCTGCTATGGATACTGCGCTACTACTGCTGCGTGGTGTAGTGCTGCTGCTGCTGCTGCTGCTACTGCTACTTCTGCTAAGCTGCTGCTCGCCGGCGTAACTCTGTTAAATACACCTAAGAATAATGGTGTGATTGTGTAATATTAAAATTATATCAATTAGGGGTGAATGTAGGGCTATCTCCATTGGATTAGCTCCTTCTGTGTCTGTCTGCTCTCCGCGCGCCTCTTTTGATTACTCTCTTGCACGCGTTATCTCCATATCGAGTTCTTCTGTGAATCCACCAGCCGCAGTAAGAGATGATTAAGGAGACAACAGCAGGGCTACCAGATTCTTTCTACTCTTCCTCACTACACTCTCTCACATCCTCCAGTCCACCGACACGTTCTCGAGGGTTTATCCTCTGCCTCTCGCTCTCCCCTCTCTCCCACTCTCTTATCTGTCTGTCTTCCCCATTCTCTCTTGTCTCCTCCTAACTCTCTCGCCACAAATGTCTCAGATTCTCTGTTGTCGTTCCTCCTCTCTCGTCCTCTTCTCGTCGTCTGCGTCTGTCACTCACACAAAAGTGCATTTGTCCTTCTCTCAGTCACAAAATACACTGTCTTTCTTAAAATGCACACCACACCACACAAAAACTCGCGCCATGCGGGACTTGTAGAAGTGGTCATTGGACTGTCATTATTCTTGGGCAGGGCGGTTTTTGATCGGGGCATGACCTGGTGTTCGTTGCTCTGCACACACGACTGAGCGCCAGAACCGGGCGCGTAAATGCAAAACTCCTCTCGTCTCCATTTGCTCCTTTCTAGAAGATTCTAAATTGTGGCCTGGTCTCTTTCTCCCTCTTGCTCTTCGTTTCTCTCCACCATCAAATTATTACCGCCTGTTCTGAGATAAATCTCACCGCTCCACTTTACTTATCTCCCGCTCATTTCTGAGAGTTTAAATTTAAACTGGCATATACAGCAGATGAAGCATCTTGCCAGCATATGGTGGCTGACTGTGTTCGTACAGTGCAATGGTAGCTTTTAGTAATTTAAACTCATACCACAATTGATGCGCACGTGCCAGTTTTCGGGGCGCCTGGTCGTGGTGAGTTTGACAAAACCTCAGGCTGCTGTTTGGTCGTACGGACCTCGAGGCTTGGTCCACACTTGTAGCCTTGTCACACAGAAGTGTCATATAACTACACGTATCTGCCTCTTACTTAGACACTCAGTGACAGTAACACCAGTCATTCAGAGTATTTGTATCAGATTGAGGCAATGGTCGCGCGAGACATTCTATTCTAGGCCTTTGTGGAAGGACCACAGTGTCGAAAAATGGCAATACATGGGTATCAATGACTTACCTTTCGCTTGTACTTTTTTCTAGTCATGTGGCGTGCACAAAAAAGAGTCATCAGGATAGGACTGTTCACAGTTGGTGCCACACTTTCAGAGAGTTATTCATTAGGACTTGACTTGGTACTTTCTTTTGCACACGGCATTTCCCCAATTTCCCCAGATATTTTCAAAGAAAATATCCCATTCCTGCACCCTAATAGTAATAACTGCCAATCTCACTCTCCTGGAGAGAGAGATGTGGGATATCACTGCATTCATAGCCCTCACTTATAAGTCAACAATTAGTTCTACTTTCACTACACTCACTAGCCCACTGGGGCGATCATAAAAACTTATGTTACTAATAATATATATAATTTATATTTAATAATATATATATATATAATATATAGGCAATGATCTGTGTCATTTAACTGCAGAAGGGCAGTTATTTTCATTACTTAACTTCTATATACCCCGATGCAGGCTGATTACATAGCTACTGACAGACCAATCTTCTGAGTTCATTGTTTGTGAATGTACCTAAAAATAAAGTATGTTATCAATCTAATCAAATTCACACAGTACTTCCCCCACTTCTTTCTGAATAACAATCTAGAGGTCAGTGACTGAGACAGAATAAGCACTCAAAATTACCTCATAAACAGGCTCCAGACGCCCAGCCAATATGTTGAGTTTCTTATGTCCGCGTCTGCACGGTGAACGTCCATTGTTTACGTTTTCCATGTTCTCTTGTTTGTAGGCGGCCATCCGACGAGGACATCCTCGCCTCGTTCTAGGCAACTTCCGCGCGCGGATTAACAAGACGGGCAAAGATTCGCAAATCAGTTCAAGTGATGCGCGGCAAGCATCGCACTTTAGCGTGGTTACATTACAACTCTCACTGTTACATGATAAGCATTATAATAATGCTGTTAGCATGATAACGATTAGCATCACCTCAGTGTTACATGATAACTATTTACAGTCCGCTCCAGTGTTACATGATAACATTACATCGCCTCGGTGCTTACATGATAACATTACAACTCTCACTGTTACATTGATAACAATTATAATGCATCGCTGTTACATGACATAACATTACATCCCCTCAAGTGTTACAAGCATGATACATACATCCGCTCACAGTGTTACATGATAACATTACATGCCCTCAGTGTTACAATAAACATTCAGGCTTCTTGTTAAACTTTTGAAAGCAAGGTAATCTTGACAATGATAGGCAGGTGACTGTTTTTCCGGCAACAGACGGTAGGGGCGGCAGAACGAAGGCGGCGAAGCCCTGCTAGGGGGGTCCAGGGGCAGCACCCGCTGGAAAAATAAATTCTGATTTGACGACACAATAACCTATTCTGATGGGATGGGTCTAGAATTGGTAGTTTAGATACGGACAATATATGGCATAAGTATATCTTTATTACAAAGAAAAACCGGGCCCCCCGTCACAAGAGTTTAGCTCTGTTGGACAAGTATTAACTAATAAACTTCGTTTTCAAAATATGGATTAAATATTTTAAGTTACAAATTTAGTTATAATCCAAACCGAACACAAATAAGGAAGCCTAAATAGACCCATAATGAAGAAAAACCCCGCCTTAGTGAGAGTTCTACTCCAACAACATTGAGCTGGCAGCGGAAAATAAACAAATTGCTTGATATATTGAGCAGCTATAAAATAACCGGCTTATCCAATTTGAAACGAAAGTCTGCATTTATTAACAAGAATCCTCTGTAACAAATTTTACGCCTAAGACCAGTTGTTACTTATGCATCACAAAAACCATTACCTCCCAAGGTGCTAATATAATAACGATTACTATTGGCATCCACTGGCTGTTACAGGCGGGTATTATACTATCTTTTTAAATTAAATTATCACTAGCTTCGTTGTTAAACAAGTCAGATAAATCATTTTCCTATTACATTCCACAAACGTCAAGCGCTGAAATTCTAAAGATATCCACCATATGAATCCAACATCTCAAATTAATAGGCTATTTCCATGGGGTCAAATCTGAACGCACCGTGGTAGAGAGGAGCCCTAAGAGATTATTCCGTCAGTGTCACACAGTGATGAACATTACATTTGCCATGCTCGCCATGATAGTTCCAGCATAACACTTTACTACAGTACGATGGCTGATGATGGGCTGGTCCTGCCGCTAATGCAGCTACGTAGATACGGGGGCTGGAAATGAGAAAGCTTACTTGGGCGTATGGTGCCGGAACCACGCATACCAGAGTCGACGGTTGCTGTACATGTATCATATTGTCAGCATCAGCATGCTTGGGGGTCTTGCTCGAGTTAGCTCAACTTCGATGTAACATTAGAGCAATCACGCTGGCTGTTACTAATGATCAACATTGACATCCCTTGGTAGTTATCATGATCACAATTACAATCCAGCTCAGTGTACACTAGACGGGCTGAAATGATTGATAACACATAGGCAGTAACACTCTGAGGATGTACAGTTGTAGGCATGATGCCATCACGCCTAAGATAGGAGCGAGCATTGTGAGCGCGAGTGTAGATATGCTATGCAGCATTCTAGCACCCCATGACTCAGATGGATATAGAATGGAGAACATGGGGCGAGAGATGAGACGGCGAGAATAGGAGAGAGGGAAGTAAAAAAAAATAGTACAAGATCAGAGTGAGAAGAGAGAGAAAAGACAGAGAGACAAGAGCAGGGAGAGAAGAGAGTAAATGAGAACAGACATATTACCAATGAGTAAGAGAGAGAGAGGACGAGAAGAGAGACAGAGCAGGAACTATGGACAGACTAGACAGACAGTATACAAGACCAGAAAAAGGGTGATATAGAAGAGAGCAGAACAGAGCAGAGAGAGAGGGTGGGAGAGTTGAGAGATAGCAAGATGTAGAGAGAAGATATTGCAGTAGGAGTAGGTTGAGGGCAAAAACCTGAGAGAGACAGAACATGGATCAAGATGATCACAATGTAACACTGAGGTGATGTTAGAGTTATCATGTAAGCACGCGATATATTATAATGGGTTATCAGAGATCAAGACAGAGAGAGAGAGGTGGTGAGTAGTGAGAGAATGAGATGAACGAAAAGAAGATACGGACGGACAGATCAAACAGTGGCGAGTTTGCGGATCACTTTGAACTGAATTTGCGATCTTTGCCGTCTTTGTAATCCGCTGCGAAGTTGCAAGACACGAGGCGAGATGCCTGCCTGCGAGGCCGGCCTACAACAAGAGAACAGAAACGCTAAAGCAAGGAACTTCAACGGCAGACGGACAAAAGATCACTTGAGTGATATGAGAATATATGTATTGATATTTAGTTATGATAATACCTTATTAATATATTATTATTTATCATAGTTATATATGAATATATGGTATATATACAATATATAGGTATATATATATATATATATATATATATATTATAGCTAACAAATTTAGATCGGCAGTGATACTTATAATAGAGTGGGAAGAGATAAGGCTATATTAGGATGCAGGAGAATGGAAAATAGAATGAGAAAGCGTGAAAAGATATACTGGAGAAAATATTGGAAAGTGAGCCGGCAAAAGTTTGATCATGATTTAGAATAGAATCAACACAACAGAAGCGCCGTAAAGTGTCAGAAAAAGTAGCACGTAATACAGTACGACCAGAAGACAGCAGCCTGAGGTTGTTTCAAAACGCACAAGACCAACGCCGCCGAAACTGAAGAAGAGGCAAAGAAACGTGGGCGCCAGCTATTGTAATATGTAAATATGAGCTAAAAAGCTACACAATTGCGACTGTACAGAGTACCCAGAAGAGAAGTTGCGAACGAGAAGCAAAGAGACCACACAATGGGCTGGAGACAGAAGATGCGTACGAAGAGAAAAAGTGATAGATCAAAAGAGAAGATAGAAGAGTAATCGAGACTCAAGGATTGAAGTTGTTTCTCCTCGCAGAAGTAGGGCTGGGCGCAGCAGTTTCGAAAGATAAAAAAAGTTTGTTGAGCGGGAGATTTCCAGAACAGTAAAATAATGGATGAAAAGAAGAAAGCCAAGAGAGAAAAGATACCAACACAATTAATCAGAAAAAGAAAGAGGAGCGTGCATTACGGGGTTGTCGCATACGTGTGTGTGGTCTGCGCTTGCATTACAAGGAGGAAGGCGAAGCAATAAAAATCATCGTGAATTTGTCCGTATGAGACGAAAGGAAGTGACGCAACTGATCCTGCAGAGATGTCGGATATTTTTCCTGCAACACCCCGCCCCCCACCCCCACCGCTCTCCAACTCTTACTCGCCAAATGATTCAAGAAAGCCATATATATGTGCCCGCTCTTATGCGTGAGCGATTGATCGAGTAGTGGGTCAGGATTAGACAGAGTAGGATGCGCGAAAATCATGTTGAGGATGTTTGGGTGATAGACTGGATGGTTGCTGATCGCGTAGTACTGAGTGTTTGTGGTTTGTCACACTCGTGCGTTGAACGAGTGTGTTGTTGTTGGTTTGTGTGTAATGTTGACGTTCTAAGTCGATTGGGACATATAAATGCAGGAGTGTTGAGATGGTGTTAGACACGATAAGCGAACGGAGTACATGGAGGACGCGAGCAAATCATGATGAAAAATGAGATTGGGTAGAGTAGCAAGTGGATGAGACGCAGACGAATTTATGAAGAGAGAGGTCATGAAGAGAGAGTAGGGTACAGACGCAGAGGTTGGAGTATGTATTATATATTATTGAGCATAGTAGAGATATTTAGATCGTGTCTTAAAGATAAATTATCTGTAATTGTACCAGACATCGTTATTATCTATTGTTTGTAAAACATACAAGAGTCAAATGCGTAACTAGGCTTTTTAATGTGAGCGCAGGGTAACGCGTGATCGTGTTGCTTGTAGTAAGGTAAACAACAGAAAGAGCAAAAATAATCCTATGTATAAGGTGAAGATTTAAAGATCGTTAATTGCAACGATAAATGAATAAAGAGACACATAATCTCTAATGAGCTTTTTTCCTAGGACCGTCGGACAATAAAGTGACAATAGGCGAAGAATAACCGGCATTCACAATCGCCGTGTGTAGGTCTCCCTCGTCTTCGCAAGTATACGCACGAGACTATTTTAACGAGTCAGCAAGAAGGTTAGCAGCGCTGTAACTCGCATAAACCGATGGGTCTATTCGCTATTTGCAAGTAGACCCGACCGTAACCCACCACCTCCAATCTACCTCATTTACTCTCGGAGCCAGAGCTCACTAAACTCTAGTGCGTTCTCAAGGAGCTCAGGTAGCAGAACACTCGCCCCTGTCAACCGCCTCCACTCATCCTACGTTCTCATGCGAGTGCGAGTGACGTGCGTGCGCCACTCTCTCTCTCTCTCTCCAGTGCTCAGTCCTAAGCCAGCAGCAGCAGCTCCGAGTGAGCAGTCATGTCTCTATCTATCGTCATAGGTTCGTTACTGTCAGTAGTGCAGAGTGAGGTCAACTCATGCCAGCAGGCACGCCAGCAGTAGGTCTATTCGCAGTGCAGTCGCAGGTATCGTCTTTCTCCCATTTACTACTCTGGGACGTCTCCAATCCCCACACAGCCATCGCAGCATCCAGTCCTATCTGCAGCGCCACAGCCAAGCTCAGTCTTCTCTCACCTTTATGCCTCTCTCTTCCGCAGAGCAGCAGATATTAGTTAGGCCAGATCACGCAGCTCTAGCAGTGAGTAGCCAAGGCTAGCCAGCAGTCAGCAAGTAGGTAGAGGCAGCAGCAGGCAGCGGAGCTCCAGTCGCATGACTGTCAGTCTCTCTCTCTGTGTCACTCAAAGACGAGCCAACATTGACGAATCAAGGCGCCACTCGCGGCGACGTCATTTTGATTGACAGCTGCCATCGAGCGAGGCAGGCCGAGGCACCGCGGGGCGGCCCGCCCCGCCCGGGCTGCCGCGCGCCCCCGGCCGCGCTGCGCGCCGACGGTTTGCTCTGAGACCGTGTACCCGTGTTTTCCCTCCGCGGCTGTACTGCTGCTAAACGAAGTGCGTGTGTTATGCTGTGTCTGACTGCGGTAGAAAGAGCTGGGAGTAGGCGGGGGAGGGGGTTGCGTGCCAGAATGATGCGTCATGCGTGGCTTCTTTTCCAGTGCCGAGAGAAGCCTTGGTCGTAGCGCATGGATCTGTATTCTATATCTATATGGTCATATAGGTACATGTCACATGGACTTGGGCCGTTTCATTGATAAAATCAGGAGTGAATGATGTAAATAAGCAGTATACCTTAAAGACATTTGTACGGATTATTAGGCGGC